AAAAAGTAGATCAGAGACATATTTATAGTAATTATGCAGGCAAATTTGCCTGCAAATCTCTACCAATTAAGGGATATGATTGACCAATTATTTTAGAGATTAGTGATCTTATAAATAATTGTTTTTTTTTTTTAAAAAAAAAATATTTTTTTAATACAAATATATTTTTTTAGAGCCATCACTAGAGCCGTTGCTGGAGTCATTGCAGCCATAGTTGGAGCCACAGAACTATTTTGAAGTCATGTAGATTTTTCATTACTTTGGTGATTTAGTAGGTTTTTTTCTATTTTTTTTCGTATTTTTTTTATAGTTTTTGTTGTCATTTTTTTCTCATATTTTTTGTAGGCTCTTCATCATTGGAGCCTCAGAACTGTTTGTCTTGAAGTCATGTGAATTTCTCGTTGCTTTGGTGATTCAATAGGTTTTTTCTATTTTCTTTCGTATTTTTTTTATAGTTTTCGTTGTAGTTTTTTTCTCATTTTTTTGTAGGCTCTTCATCATTGGAGCCTCAGAACTGTTTTGAAGTCATGTGGATTTCTTGTTATCTTGGTAATTTAGTAGATTTTTTTCTATTAAGTTTTTTCATATTTTCTTCATAGTTTTTGTCATTGTTTTTTTTTAATTTTTTGTAGACTCTTTGTCGTTTTCAGTGTAAGTTCTTCTGATAAATTCATTGTTTCTTGGTATTAATTTTTGGCAGTTTTCACTAGATTTGTTCAAAGCCTTTTATCAGTTTTTTTCAATAAGTTCGTTGTTTTTCGGTAAGTAGGTTCACTGTTTTTAGTAAGTTTTTTTTTGTCATTTTTCGGTAGATTCTTTCATGAATTCTTCATCATTTCTTCTAGTAGGTTTTTTTTGAGTCTTTTTTTTTATTCGTGTTTTAATGTGTCTCTGCCTCAGTAGGTTTTCATATTATTTTTTGGTTTCACCATTTTCGTCATTTTATTTTTTGCTATCTTTGTTGCTTATTCTTTAGTGCTATTTTTGTTTTTGTTCTTGTCCGCTTTTTTGCCATTCTCGTTCCATTTTCTTGTATTTCTTGTCCTGTTTTCTTGTTGTGTTTATTCTGTTAGTTCTAAAAAAAAACAATAAATTAAATAAATAATGAAAAAAAAATGATTAAATTAAATTAAAAAAAAACCCAATAAATTAAATAAATTAAAAAACTCCTAATAAGTTAAATTAATTAAATAAATTAAAAAAAAAATTAATAATTTAGAGCTTGGAACCAGTTTATTTTTATATATTAAACCCAGTTTTAATACTCTTTTTTAAATAAATTTTTACAAGTACAGTATATGTAATTGACCAATCAAATTTGATTACATGCATCACATACTTGTGTTAAGCATATAATACACGTGATTGAATTTGATTGGTTAATCACAAGGTCGCCATAGTGATAGATCACTATAAAATAATGCCTATTAATTTTAGCTATATATTTTTTAAATAAAATATTTAATTTTAGATTTGTTTTATTAACTTTGTTAAGAAAATTTTCAAAAATTTTTTAAAATTATTAAAAAACTTTAGTATAATAAAAGTTTAAAGTTTTTGTATTAAAATTTTTACTATAAAATTTTTTCTTTGGATTTTTTAAAATTTTATATGGTTTCATTTATAAAAAAATCTTTATTTTTAAGATAAGTCTTAATTTTCATTAGTAAATTACTAAAAGTACAATAATAAAAGTTGTTATCTTTTGTTTTTTATTTTTTTTAGTATTAAAGTGATCTTTATTAATTTGAAAACTTTTTATTAAAGTATAGATAGAGTTTTATAATATAATTATAATGTTGGTATATTAAACCACATGTGTATTTTTAATATCTAATTTAAGTGGTCTGCCTGAAGGTTCTACACTATCTGCCATATTTGCACCTCAACTAGGAGGTACCTATTTAAACTATCTAATTCTAACTACCTCTATTTGCTCTCTAATCTGATAGGTTTCTTCACTAAACTAAGTAGATATTGGTATCACCCAAACTAGATTTTGCACCCTGCTTTAGAACTTACTAACTTATATAGACCTAGTTTATTCTTGAGATAAATCTAACATAGCAGTATATGTTCTATACATATATTTATATGCTTGTTTCTATAACTTCTTTCTAATTAGTACATATTGACCTGCTGTTCTATATTTATATTCCACACCACCTTTTGAGGTACTACTATTTTACAAACATTTCTCAAGCACTAACCTTTCTAATTAGGTATCTATTATGTACTCTTTGCTCTTGTTCTAGTTTCCAGTAACCCTAGTACCTGCATTTAAACCATTTTCTTATCTAGATTCTTTATCGGTTTCTCCTTTACTTCTAGCTGGCAACCTAGAAGAGTCAGTTTGCTCAGGCTTTAGATGTCTGAAGAATATTCTTCTTTTGGTCCATATTTTTAGAGCATATATTCTTTTTCTCCAGTGTGACAACCTGACAGTTCAGCTAGTGTGTTTCCACCATTAGGACCTGATTGCTCGATTCTTCAATTTCAGACCTCAGTTCAAATCTAGCTTTTCTGTAGTACTGTTGTAGATTACTGCTACCTTCAAACTCAGGACTTTCCAAACAGGTTTTCAGTTATTCTGGTTTCCTAGATTTATTGCACCATTACTAAATAGTGTGACCAAGATTATATATTAATCTAGATTCAACCAATAGAAAGCCATCAACTGTACACAGGCCTATTTTTCAAAATCGTTACTAGTGAAATTCAAACTCTAGACCTGCTGCTTGGAGAGGGTGACAACTAGACTATTGCACTAAGTTACCGCACCTCTAAGTTGTTATCCTTTGTATAAACTACAATATTGTATTAAAACTATATTTTAAAACTAATATTTAAAGAGTTTACTAAAAAATTATTAATTATTTTTTTAGTTAAAAAATTTCTTTAAAATTGTTTATTTTTAGCTTATAAATTTTGTTTTATAATATAAATACAAATATAGCAAAAATATAATTTTTATTTTCAAAGAGTTTTAATTTATAGTGCTATAGTACTGTAGTGCTAGAATATTTTAACCAATTAAAATTTAAAATTAGGTTAAATATTCAAATTAGCTTTGTATAATAAAAATAAAGAAATTTTTAAAAAAACTATTATATTTTAAAATTTTGTCTTAAAAAACTATCTTTTGAGCTTTAATAAAAAAAATTTTCTGCTAAATTTTACTATAAAAACTACTTAACTCTAACACTATTCTAATCTTTGACTTTTATCTTTATTTTACTATTAAAAAAAATTAATTTTTAGTTTGATAAAAGTTGGTTTAATTTACATGTTATACAAGTTTGTTTATTACTTATCTCTTAAATTGTAACACAGGCAAATTTGTCTGCAAAGATTTTTACTAATTTTTTTAATATTTAAATTTTTTAATAAAATTTTGAATATTAATTT